GAACCTGATCTCTACCAGTTTTTAACTCAGTCTTAAAATGTAATATATCTAAGGAAGCAACTATGTGATGAGTCACACCAAAGTCAACTATCAATTCCTTACAAGGATAACTAGTCTTTAGTGTAATAGCAATACCTGCCATATTCACTTGGGATACTGATGTGTCTTTGTTCAACATATCCAAAATCTATTTGTAATGATCCTCAGTGAAGAAATGTTCTCCTGCAGGACCATCACTGTTTGATTTTCCTCCAGCCATGCTTGGTGGTTCTTCATGCTCAGAGGTTCCAGTCGCACAGTTAGCCACAACCTTTCTCTTACCATTGAAATTTTTTGGATAACTTACTAGCTTGTAGCAGTTTTCTTTAAAATGTTTACTCATTTTACAGTAGTCACATTTCATGAAGGTCTTCTTTCCTTTGTAACATTGTCCTCGTCCATCTTGCATAGAAATAGGATCTCTCCTGGTAGCTAAGACTGGATACGAACTAGATCTTTGGCTTTCATCCTCAATTATCAAGGCATAGGCTTGATTCAAGGTTGGCTCGACAGTCTTCATTAAAATCTGCCTTCTCGCTTGTCCATAGGTCTTATTTAGACCATTGAGAAGTTGAATAAATCTTTTGACGATGAAGATGTTCAATATAGTCCTTTGATTTTACACAATCACAACCTGATGTAGGAACCAAAGAATCATACTCTGACAATAATTGCATCAACCTTGTGAAATAAGTGTCAATAGAATTAGTTTCTTGTGTAATTGATGCAATCTTTTTGTGCAATTGGAAAATTCAAACTCGACTAACCTTATCAAATCTCTCCTTCAAGTCTTCCCAAACTAGGTGAGCATCTAATGCATAATCAATTCCACTAATGAGGTTCATCGATTCAGTGATCATGATCCAAGAGAGAACAATCGCAATGCATGTCTCCCATTCCTCATGTAATTCCTTCTTAAAGATATTCTTCTTACATGTACCAGTTACAAACCCTAATTTTCGTTTAGTTTGAAGAGCAATTCGCATCGTGCGATGCCACAACCCATAGTTTTCAGAGCCTGTGAGCTTAATCGGAATCAGGACTGAGCTCAGAGTATTGGAAGGATGTATAAAACACTGGGTGTGTGTGATCGATCTTCGCAACCCCTATTACTTAATTTGATCGAGAGTTTTGGAACACACAATACGTGATTATTCAATTAAGATGAAACTAGTATCAATTGCTCTGATGCCATGTGAGTTTAGGTGGATTGAATCACAGCTTGACCTCCATTAATGGAGGTGAAGTAACATACTGAGCTGGGAGAAGATGAGATTTAGAAAGAGAAGAACTTGAATAGAACTTTCTGGTATACTGATTGAATACAAATAAAATGTACATCACATCTATATATATATATATATATATATATATATATATATATATATATATATATACA